ACAAACAACAAGGATCATATCAGTCACATTGACCACCAGGGTATTATTTATTAGTAACTTTAAAGAAGAGCCTGTTTATACTGGTTGCCATCTCATGGTATGTATTGTGTTTGTATCAGATCCCAGCTATGCCACCCGTACAGGGAGCACCAAGCCCCTGTTGCACAGCCTTCATTTGTAAAATGGGAATATTGGAATGACCTCCGCAGAGCAGTCCCTCCCACACAGCGTATGCCAAGAAGGGACGCCCTGCCCTCTTTAGCCAGAGTTGTCCACCCACACGACAGGAGGGGAAGATGTCCGGCTAGGCTGAGAGTGTGTGACTGGCCAAATTTTACGAGCCGGATTGGGGATTTGAGCCTGGGCCTCCCAAATCCTAGTCTGGGAAGGCCTGTGGCTCAGTGGTAGTGTCTGCTTGGCATACAAAAGGTCCCAGGTTCAATCCCCGTTATCCCCAGTTTAAAGGACCAGGCAGTGGTTAATGTGAAAGACCTCAGCCTGAGACCATGGAGAGTCGCTGCCAGTCTGGGCAGCTTCATGCGTTCATGCGTATGTGTGGCACCCTTAACGTCTACACTAAACTGGATCTGCAGGGGCTGCCCATTTTAGCAGCAAACATGAGACTACCAGCGGAGGAAGCGAGAAGAAAGGTCAGATGTTTCTGTGAATCCGCTGCCCTTGAAATAAATCTCATTGTTCAGATTCGTTTTAACTATGTTTCTGACTCTCTGCCAGTAGCCCTGCCTTGTGTCAGCACAGTCACCTCTGCTCTGTTTGTGTGTTTGTGTGGCCTTCCATTATTTTATCTTGTAGCTGAGCTTTTATTTTATTAATTATTTTATTTAATTCACGTCCCACCTTTCTCCCCAGTGGGGACTCAAAGCGGCTTACAATGTTCTCCTCTCCTCCATTTTATCCACACAACAGCCCTGTGAGGTAGGTGAAGCAAGCTTCCCTGACAGAGTGGGGCTCTGGACCTGGGTTTCCCAGATCCTTGTCTGGGGGGGGGGAAGGAGGAGAGGGAGGAGGAAGAAGAGGAGATTGGATTTATACCCCGCCCTTCACTACCAGAAGAAGTCTCAGAGCGGCTTACAATCCCTTTCCCATCCCCTCCCCGCAACAGACACCCTGTGAGGGAGGTGGGGCTGAGAGAGCTCTTTTGAGGACTGCTTGTGAGAGGAAAGCTCTGCCAGAACTTGTAAGTAACCCTTCAGCAGCTGCATGTGTAGGAGTGGGGAATCAAATATGATTCTCCCAGATTAGAGTCCGCGCTTCTAACCACCAAACTGGCTCACTAGATTCATCCAGGACATACTAAACATCTACTCCTTGGCAGTTATGAGGGGAAAGTTCATGCATTTACCTTAATCAGAACGAATCTGTCCTTCTTCCTAGGTAAGATCGACACGATTGCACGTATCCTTGTGGAGTGTCCTTTGTATGCTAACCTCAAAAAAGAAAAAAATGCTGTTAAGTGACCTTCACACCTGAGAGGAGAGAATGGAGAGCATCAATTTACTTCTCACAGTTAAAAAATATAACAACAACAACAACAACAACAACAACAATAATAATAATAATACCTCACCCTCCCTGCCAAAGCAGGCTCAGGGCAGCTTACAAAGCAACATAATAACAGTAGTAACATAAATAAAACCATCTAAAACAATTGAAAACATAAAGTGCTAGCAAATTGTAGCTATACATTAAGGATGGTGGCAATAGTTACTTTGTTCATCCGTTCTTGATCTTTATCACATATATACAACTGGCATAGATTGTAATGGCGGAGTCGGGCACCCCTTTAGTGATGGTGATGGTGATGGTGGCGACTCCTTAATTGAAGGCTTGGTGGAAGAGCTCTGTCTTGCAGGCCCTGCAGAACTGTAAAAGATCCCGCAGGGCCCTGATCTCTTTTGGGAGCTCATTCCACCAGTATGGAGCCGCCACCGAAAACGCCCTGGCCCTGGTTGTTGCCAGTCTGATGTCTTTGGGGCCTGGGAGGGTCAGTTGGTTTTGTGACCCTGAGCGCAGTGCTCGCTGGGGTACATAGGGGGAAAGGCCGTCCCTCAGGTATGTCGGCCCCAGACCATATAGGGCTTTAAAGGTAAGAACCAGCACCTTGAAGTGAACTTGGAATTCTATCGGCAGCCAGTGTAATGCCTTTAGCACAGGCTAGATGTGCTCCCGCATAGGGAGGCCCATCAGAAGCCTGGCCGCTGCATTTTGCACTAGCTGCAGCTTCCCTATTTACGACAAGAGCAGCCCCATGTAGAGAGCATTACAGTAGTCCAGCCTTGAGGTGACCATTGCATGGATCACTGCTGTCAAGTCATTGCGGTCGAGGAAGGGAACCAGGTGCCTAATCAGCTGGAGGTGGTAAAAGGCTGACTTGGCAGTGGCTGCTACTTGGGGTCCATTGTTAAGCACGTATCCAGGAGCACTCCCAAGCTCCTGCCCTCTGGCGCTGGCACCAACGGCACCCCATTGAAGGTCGGGAGTGGGATCCCTACCCTCGGACTACCCTGGGACCACATTTTATCTGCTGTTTTGACATATTTATTGCTTTGCAACTGTTGATCTTATAACCTTAGCTTGTTCTTTAGTTTTGCCTTTGCACATCTTCAACGTGTTACATGTTAATTTGCTGTTCAGCCTGTCTATAAGTTTGCATCTTACCTACCATTCCAGCGTATTTGAAAAAGTGTGCATGCACACAAAAGCTCACACCTTGAACAAAACTTTGTTGGTCTTAAAGGTGCCACCAGACTCTAAATTTGTTCTCAGAGTCAGGAGGCATTATATTTCACTGTGTTTGCCAGTTCAGTCTGATGTATATTCTTATGACCTGCTTACATATCTACTCAACGACAGGAATCCAAAACGAACCTTAGCAGTTTCAATTTTTTTAACTTCTTTTGTCTATTGGGTGGCAAGTGATTAATAACACTGCTCAAGAGTAATGTGTCACAGAGCTTTTATGGGATCAGAGGAAAGGAGAGGACTTTGATCTCCACACCACGCTGCCTCTCTAGTTGAGCTTTTGCAAAACATACAGCCCGATATGTCCACGTTTCCTTGGGAGGAAGCCCCATGGACAACCAAGGACGCATACCTGGCAGCGCTGTCTATGTTTATTTGTTCAGTTTCCAGAGGAGCTAGAGAAGCTAAAACAAGCAAATTAAGTTTGACAAGAGCTTAGCCAACTGTGGGTGATCTTTGAGGGGCTCTGATAAGCCTTCTGGATCCCAGCCCAACCCCGTTAAAAAGCACGCTGCCAGACATAATTGTTTATGATGGGCATCCCGCGCGTGATGCTGTGACATAAGAGCATCCGTCGCTATGTGTCTTGGAATGGAATCCCGACAGGTAACTGCTGCCATAGCAACATGGACAACAATCTAGGCGCATGTTGGCCACATTTTAGCCGCAGAGGTGAGGCGACCGGTGAAGAAAATTGGTTGTTTTGCCGGCTCCCGCTGAGGAAGGAAAGAATTTTAAATAAGCTGAGAGGTCTCTAAGGGTCTTGCTCATCCTTGGATTGTGGGGGGGAAATGTGTCTAGTTGGTTAAATATGTATTCGTTAAATAGCAGCTAGGGCTGGGGAAGGAAATGGCACTTGACAATAAATCTAGAGGTTTGTTAGAATTTCATTTATACCTTGCTTTTCTTCCCAGTGGCTTTTCTTCCCAGTGGTTCTTTTCTCTTCCATTTTTTCCTTCACAACAACAGCCTGGGGAGGTCGGTGAGGCTGAGGGTGTGTGACTGGCCCAAGGTCACCCAGCAGGCTTCCATGGCAGAGTAGGGGATTCAAACTTGAGCCTCTCAGATCCTAGCCTGGCACGCTTGCCCCAACACCAGCTCTTCTGCCTTTAATGGACCCCCCCAGCTTCTCCTTCATTAACTGCCAAGTGAAGGTTGCGTTCTTTAGTGCCAGTTGGTTGCAGTGGTGGGAGCGCAGACTCTAATCTGGGAGAACTGGGTTTGATTCCCCACTCTTCCACATGCAGCTGCTGGTATGACCTTGGGTCAATTACAAGTTCCTTCAGAGCTGTTCTCTCATGAGCAGTTCTCAAAAGAGCTCTCAGCCCCACCTACCTCACGAGGAAGGGAAAGGAGTTTGTAAGCCGCTCTGAGACTCCAAGTGAAGTGCAGGGTATAAAGCCAATCTCTTCCTATTGTTCTTCTTTGCTATGCAACCCAACAATTCAAAATTGACTTCAGTAGCATCAGTGTGACAGTGGAGGGCCTATCCGTTTTAAACCAGGATGACTAGAGTATATGTCCGTGGGTTTCTGCCCCAACACAGTATGCATCTGCCCCGATTGCCTTGAAAGAGTTAGAGAGGCAATGTGTATCAAACTTTGGTGTGTTCACAATGGATTCTAGTGGAAGTTAGTAAATGTCCGATCAGACTATTTTTGCCTGAACTATGTCTGAGCCAATGAAGTGGGGTTCCCTTGGTTCAGCTGACAGTCCTGCGGGATGCGTTCCCACTTTGAAGAGAATCAAGAGGCAGGCTTCGCCTTGGTTTGAATGCATTCTTGGTTTGTCTCTTTGGTCTGAATCCTTCATGCCAGTGCTCTGGAGTCCAGGACATGCTACAGTTCACGGCTGCTCAAAACTGGGCAAGGATCGATTCCGTGTCGTGAGTTTTAGACTGTTTCAGATGGCATCACACCCTCTGTTTGTTGGTGCAAAGCATTTTGATCCAGGTGTCTATCTCTGTGTGGAAGGTGCCATTCAGTCGCACAGAAGAACAGGGGTGCTTTGCCCTTGCCTGCCTCTGCACGGCGACCCTGGACCTCCTTGGGGGTCTCCCATCCAAGGACTCACCAGGGCCGACCCTGCTTAGCTTCTGAGATCTGATGAGATCGGGCCAGCCTGGGCTATCCAGGTCAGGTTCCAGGTATCCAACTGCAATTAAAAAAAGAGTGATTCACGCCAGCTAGTCTTTATTGACAGTTTGAATAAAGCAGTTTCCTCTTTTAAAATTTCAGTGCGGCCCTTCTCCACCTCCGCAAGGAGGGACGCGACAACTGACAGCATGATGCTGATCCCTGAAGAATGATTTGTGGACTTTGGCCAGTAAGTACCCCGGTGTTCTTTTTGCTTCTCTTCGCTGGGGTGAATTAAATGATTCCCGGGCGGTGCCACATCTGGGGTGGGGGGTGGTATTTGGATATGCGACAGTTACTTGGGAAGTACTGGTTTGCTAGACTGGGGTTGTCCTTGAGGAGATATGCAGTTAACAGATAAGAGAGCTGGAACACAGTTGAAGAGTGGAGCACAAGGGTAAACTTGAGTCAAGAAAGGGGAGACCCGCTGCTGGTGTTCCTGTTTTGTATGACTAGATAGCTTTTCCAGAAGGGTTTGTTTTCCATGGATTTCTGGGCATAGGCCTTGTTTTGCGGTTGGGGATTGTCGGCTTGGGTTGGCTCCTCGTCATACAGTGTTTTAACAAGAGGCTGACCTGGATGGGCCAGGTGAGCCCAATCTCATCAGATCTCATCAGCTAAGCAGGGGCAGCTCTGGTGAGTCCTTGGGTGGGAGACCACCGGGGAAGTCCAGGGTCTCTGTGCAGAGGCGGGCAAGGGCAAATGTCTCTTGCCTTGGGAACTCCATGGGGTTGGCATAAGTCGGCTGTAAGTCGGCAGCAGTTTCCACCACACATTAGCCCATTCCACACTCTCCGTGTTCACGGTGGTGTCTTCCAAGCAATTTTGCACTAAAATCTAATTCAGCCTTCTTTTTATTCTGTGTCGTTGTCGCCCCCCCCCCTCCCCAGTTCTGCACTAAAATTTAAATCAACCTTTCTTTTATTCCGGGTTTTTGTTCCGTTCTGCATCACGCTACCTCCCTTCAGTGGGCGACCCAGTTTCAGCCCACTGTTTCCCCAGAGCTGCTGGTGTTCCTGTTTTGTATGGCTAGATAGCTTTTCCAGAAGGGTGTGTTTTCCATGGATTTCTGGGCAGAGGTCTTGTTTTGCGGTAGGGGATTGTCGGCTTGGGTTGGCTCCGCGTCATAAAGTGTTTTAACCAGAGGTCATTTCGGGGGGATCGCAGGGGATCGCAGTTCCCCCGGGTGAGGTATGGGGGGAGGACCGTTGGCAGCCACTTGAAAGGAACCATCCTACCTCCCACTTTAGTCCTGACCAATGTTCCCTCTAAGCTGTGGAGTCTTGTGAGCAAAAAGTCTACTTTGTGAGCTCCTGGCATTAAAGTTGTGAGCGAGCAATTCGGCTACTGCATAAATTAGTTTGCTCTGGAGCCATCCCTTCCTGAGCTAAGACAAAAATGTGTGAGCCGGAGGCTCAAAAACCGTGAGCTAGCTCACACTAACTCAGCTTAGAGGGAACACTGGTCCTCACTCTGTGCTCAGCGGGATGAGCCACCTTGTGTCCCCGCAGTGCTGTCAGCTAAGCTGCTGCCGTAGCTGGGGGAGGGGGAGGGGGAGGCGATGGATGGTATGTTGCTGTAATGGAACCTTAACTTTCATTTCTGCCTGACTCGTCTTATTGTCACGAATGCGGTACTAGGCCAGGCAACAACAAGAGAGTCCAAAAGCAGTCCAAAGTCAAAACCAGGCAAGCAGTAGTACCAAGTCCAAATCACCAACCGTTAGAGTCGTTGTTAAAGCCAGAGTCCAAAGAAGTCAGAAGCCAGAGGGTCAGAGGTCCAAGGGGCAGGTCAGAAGCAGAGTCATACATACATACATACATTTTTTATTTCTATACCGCCCATGACCCCCAATGGGTCTCAGAGCGGTTTACACTGAACTACTTCTGTAGTTTGTTACCTGACTAGGGCCACAATTTTTCCGGGGAGGGGGTTACCTAACAGCACCCATGCGGCGTATTTCCTCCTCATCCGGCGGCTTCAGATGTCGTTCCTGGCGTCCCGGGCGACTGGCGACCATCACAGGCAGGCTCTGATGCTTCCTCCTCTGGCGCACACTGCTTTCAGACTGCGGCTTCCGGCTATGCGTCCCGTCGGGCTCCTGCCGTGCTGCGTCGTCTCGCAGTTGCGTCGCCCTGACTCTGCCTCCATCCGATCTGGTCGTCGCCTCCTCGGAACACCGGATACCGCCATTGTTCTTTCGCCGCCGCTTTTCTCGCCGCCACCGTCAACACTCCTGGCACAGAACCAGGAGGAGGGTGCCCCCTGCCACCTAGGGCAGGTACCCATTTCTCTACTTGTATTTACTTTCGAGCCGCTGGGTTGGCGGGAGCTGGGACTGGGGCCGGCAGCTCACGGGGATTCGAACAGCCATTATGGCTGTT